ATTATCTGATCGTTGCTCTCATCGCCGAAAGAACAAAACGCGACGCGACCTATCTGCTCACGATCGCCAGCCCGCTACATGATCTACGCGCTGCTCTCGTTATCTCGCGGCGATCGAGGATACTTACTCGGGCCGAGAAACGAAAGAATTCTTCTTCTTCCTTCCTCGGCATGCGCAAACTAACGCCACGGATTTAACATTTATGTTTACCACGCGTTCGGTTGTTCTACAAGCTGTACGGTCGATGCTTGCGGTTTCTTCCAGGTTCCCGCCTTTTTCTCCAACTCCTCTTTCTTCTTCGCAACGACGAGAAAACGTGTCGAAGGTAAAATCGGAGAATCGAGCGAAGGAATAACTGGTGGTTAGCTGTCTAAGGAAAATACCCAGGAACCGTGGAAGTCCTCCAAGTATTTCCACCTCTCGAACCACGGAGGAAAATGAATTTCTCCCTCCGAGCCTCTGGTGGGTCTGGTAAAATTTTCGAAAAGGATATTTCACCGATCCGGGGCCAAGACGCGGCGTTCCACGTTTCTCCACGTTTCTCCACGTGGCTGGAAGCTCCGACGGAGCGCGGAGTAAACGCAGTTTCACCGTGAAACGAGCGGGTGGGGCGATTCCACGGAAATAGAGTTGCAGCGACCGTAGAAAGAAACAAGGGAGGAGGATTCGTGGAGCAGGAGAAAAGAGAAAAAGGTGGCCAGAGCCAGAAGAAGAGACCCGAGAGACTCAGGTAGATGCTAATGGGAGCCCATTGTTTTTTCTCCTCTGTTTTCCTCTCGGGCTGCATTGTTCTTGCAACGGGTCCAGCTCTGCTCATCAGTTAACATTGTCCGCACATTAGATCGGCCTTGTTCCAAATTCGAGCTGCGGCCGCGCGCGACCTCCTATCTCCGGAGAATGCGACCCCGCGCGACCACTGTCCACTGTTCTCGACAACTGTCGCCGAGACAACAGAGGAGGAAAGAGAGAGGGAGAACGGAGACAAAGGTGGCGAGAAGCTGTGGTGTAAACGAGCCACAACCACGCTCACCAGTTATACCAGATACTTTCTTGTTCAGCCTCCCTCTTTACGTCTGTTGTTTGGTCGACCGGACAATCGACCGGTCCCGTAGAACAAACAAGGGATCCTTTCCGATCGTCCGTGAAATATCCTCGAGCTCGAAGTCGACGATCGAGGAATTTTGAAATTGCTCGCGAAGGGTGTTTCGAACGCGAACGTACCCCTGGCAAACGGTGAGGAGGAGGTGCCGATATCTCGAGCGTAATTTATCACCGAGCTAGGCCGGGGCATTGGGCCCTCGGAACACCGTGGTGCTGAGGAACGCGAAATAGAGAGTTCCCCGGGCCCAGCCCTCATTACCACGCCCCCAGACTTCCTAGTCATTATCTGCTGGTTCCAATAGCGAGATCGAATTTCATCACGGATTCCAGAACGGACATTCCACCGCGATAATTGGCCTTCTTCTACTTTGGAAAGATTTTTCATTTTCCCCCTCGACATAATGCACACTGTCGTTTCGGGCAAAAACCGGCCGATACCGATCGGCTGTATCGTTTTCGTGGAAAGTGGAACGATAAACGAACGAGGAGGACAAAGCCCTCGGGTGGGGCACAGCAAACTGCTGGAGGGTTCCTCCACGTCGGGGGCTCGATGTAAATAATTAAACAGGTCCGGCGAAAACAAATATATCGTTTCGCGCAGTGTGATAGATGATGTTGCTTATTCAGCGTCCTGGATGAAGAGAAAGGTGTGGTAGACGGAGGGGAAAGAGAAAGACCGCGCGGTAGGAAGAAATAGGAGAGGAACGGAGAGGGTTCAAGGGCGTGCTGGACGTTTCGAGGGAAGGATGGCGAGGCAATTAGGAGACTCAGCAGGGTGCCAAAATCTTTGCCTTCTTCCTTCGAACCTTCTCCTACACCTCTACTCTTTTCCCTCTTTCGCCATTCCTCCTGCTTTCCACCCGACTTTGTTTTTTTTCTAATTCCACCCGATCTCGCTCGCTGCCTCCTTCTTCCTCCTTTCGGCCGAATCAGGAAGGACAACTATTCTCGACCCATCCTTCGATCATGTAACTATCCCGGAACGCCCTTTCGTGTCTACACCCTGGATGCTTGTTAATGCAAACAACGGTATCCTCCGAACAACACCGATGCTGATGTCATTTTGTCCATTTTTTTTCTTTCGCATCTAACATTCATGCCAACATGAATACAATACACGTTCGGCACGACAGTTGAACGAAGGGGCCAGAATTTTTACAATTATACCCGAGGAAATATTTTTATCTTATTTTTCTAACGCTTGTAACGATTCACGGCGCCACCAGCTGTGTCCTCGAGATGCACCGTTGAAAGCCAGTAAGGCAGAACTTCGACAAACGCTACCGCCGATACAACCCTACTTCTTACCTGGAAAGTTTCGCTTCGGTAATACAGTGTATCGTCCTTACCAACTGCGAGTAAAATTTTTTACGCGAGCTCGAATAACGATCGAGCGTGTTCCTCGAATAGTTTACTCGATACGCTGCGAATAAACGTACCGAAGTGATGATTATCGATAAATATTTCGCCGTTTTCCTACTATTCGAAATGTAACTACGTTTCACCTGTTCTTACAGAAAAAACAGTACAGCTAAGATATATGTTTGTACGTGCGAATAGAGAAATATTCTTAAATTCTATTCAATTTTGAATATAATTAATAAAAGATTCCTGGTTGGTGAGCGTGTTGGGAATAGTTTCGTCGATATAAAGGGCGCCCTTTTTGTTTGCGTTACCCTGACAACGTCTGTGCAAGTAAGCTGTCTACGAAGCTAGCCCGATTTTCCAATCAACCTCCAGAGAAAAGGTTCCGGTAGAGAAAAACTCGTTGGTAGAAGAAAAATTGTGGAAAAAGACATGGCTGCGAGAGCAGGTATTTGCCGAACGTGCAATCGTGGACTTCACTCCTACAACGTACCCAGAGACTCGGATAAAAGGGAGACGTACACTTTCGTGAAGAGTCCAAGGGCGATGTTGCACGTTCAGAAGAAATACAGAAATCCACCCACGTAAGTTTCAGTAGAATTTGGAAAATTTGTATAAATCTCAGGCAAGCGTCTCGATATCGTGCTACTTTTTCAAACGAAAGCTCGAAACGTATCAGCCCATGAAATCTTTACACGGTGTTGGGATGCGAAACACCGATATCGAATTCACCTAGCACTTACATACATGTGTATCTTCGTCCATTATTATAGTCGTTTATTCTTACGTAATTTATGCATAATAGAAGGAATACAGGGAAGGCCAGGGCGCGTATAGATATATAGACTGTTCCTCTGATAGACGGTAGATGTATGTACGTACGTACGTATAAGAATAATTTTCGCGTGCAAACTTTTGAATCGCGATCGAAAGAAAGAGAGGTAGATTATGTGTTGGTTTCGATAAGTCTGACGATTCGAAAACACGCAACTGATTTCTCGGAGCGTTTCACGCAAACTGTGTATACTAAGAGTACCGTTCAAGGTTCAAGGATAGCCGCAGTATGCTAATAGGATAGCAGAGGTTTCACGATGATCGTTCGACGAAGAAGATGATACGAAACGACTGATAATTAGGAGGAGAAAGGAGAGGAACGAACCGATACGTTAGCTGGCAATTAGAGACGTTGACAAAGCAAGGCGACGCGAGAAACGATCGGTCGAGAACGTTTCACCTTGAAAAAGGGGCTCGCGAGGAGGTGGAGGAGGAGGAGGTTGTGGACAAGCTCTGGCCGGTGCTCGACGAAACACCGGCGGACATACGTGGTCATAGTTACCACCGATTTCGAGCCCCTTTAGGCATGCGCAAAGTTCACGATGGTCAACGTTATTGAGTGGACGCCGGGTAAAAATATACGTGTATGTCGGTCGATTCTAAGGACATTGTCCAGTCTATGAACTCGCGCTCGCACGGTTGCCAGCCGGTTAGTAATACCGTGGCCATAGCCGTGGTCACAACCGTCTCCTCCGTCCATCCAGTGCGTCAGTTGGGTTATCCTTCGGAAAAATTCTCTTCCGTGGCTCGACGATGAGCGTCCAAGTTGGTCGTAGAGATTGGTGAAAAGACGAAGCTATGCCAGCTGGGATTTCCGCGTTGGCGCCAACAGCCAACGGAGATCCGTTCGGTCTCGAACGGAAGGATCCTCCAGCGTTCGCGATCCTGCAGAAAGACGGACTCGGCACCAGTCTGCCGATTCTCCAGGTGAACGGTAACAGCGGAACGAACCGTTCGGAAGTTGCACGCCTCGAGAACGCTAAAAACGAGCTGTTCGATCGAAAACGCATCAGCAGATCGAACGATCATCTGGTCCAAGCGTGTCTGCAATCGAGCTATGCGAATCCTGCGAGAAAGGAGACACGGAGCAGAAGTCAGGATAGCCTGCGTTCCGTCGTCAAGATACCGGCGATCAAACCGAGCATCACCTTGTCCACCGAAGACTTCAACGACGTTCTGAACGCTAAGCTGAAGAAGCTTCAGGAACAGGAGAAGGAGAAGGAGGAGCAACTTTCTGATGCCGCCGCCGGAAGTGGCTGCTCTTCTCGGTATCACGCCGAGTATGAACGACGCCGAAGATATCACCGATGCCTGTCCGCTGCGCTCGCGATTCAAGTCGTTGGCCAAGAAGCCGGAAGTACGTCACAGCAGCCACAATGCCAGGTGTCCGGCTGCCCTGAAGGCCACCGTCGACTTCACCCTCGGAATGATGAACGCGACGACCATGGCTGCCTCGACCTTGGACGATCGGCCGAGGGTGATATCGAAGAGAAACGGCGACGCGACGTAAGTTGGAGGGAACAGATGGTAAACGATTAGGTTGCGTGCGCAGCGCACAAGTGTTGTCGTCGACGATTGCAGGGTGCAATTGACCGCGGGATTCGAAGTTGAGGCGTTTTGTGCGGTGGTAATTTTAACGACGCTCGCCCGGGATTCCGTCGTTACTTTATCAGATATTCCGAGGCAGTCGTGCGCGTTTAAAAACTTTCCCTTTCTTTGCAGCGATCAATCGATTCCTTTCGGGAATATCATGTTTGACCGCCGCGTTGTTCGTGGAAGCACGTTCACCTCTCCTCCTGTTCTCGTGAGTAACGAAAACGAAGCGTTCTCGGCTTGGAAAAAGCCGAAAAGAAATGATTCTGCTTTTAACTCAGATCGATGGAGAACAATCGATCGCAGCGAGACAGGCGGAGGCCAGAAGAAGAAACTTGGCGAGAAAACGAGCTCAAGCGCAGGCTACTAAAGCTCTGGTGGCTAGAGCTGGTTCACCACCGCCGGTTCCTGGTCGCAAACACGAGCCAGTGCAAACGGAGGTCTATCTGGAAGAGGTAAACGCACATCCCTCTATCCGGTCGCTCTCCGATTACTTAGAAATTCTCGATTGTATTTGAGACAGCTGTCCGAGAAACCGGACGAAACAGAAGTCGCGACGCAGACGGACTATTTCCTGGACAGGCCGCCGACGCCGAAATATTGTCCGGATAAAGTTGGCGAGGACCGCGGCACGCAGATCGAACCTGGCGACGTAAGTTGGAGAATATCGGCCGAATTATATTCGATCGCTGAACGAGATCGACGCGTTACTTTCAGCTGTTCGACTTCGACTTGGAGGTGCAACCGATGCTCGAGGTGCTCGTAGGGAAAACGATGGAACAGGCGCTGATCGAGATCCTCGAGGAAGAAGAGATCGCAGCTTTGAAGGAACAGCAGAGGAAGTTCCTGGAGTTGCGAGCCGCGGAAAGAGCCGAAGAGCGAAGGCTAGAGGAACAAGAGAGGAGGATAAGAGAAGAAAAGGTAAAGGGGGTATTTTTTCCGAGAATTTCTCTTTACCAACGCGAGAAATTCACTCGGTAGGATCAACGATTGAGGCAACACGAGAAGGCGGTGACAAGTGAGAGGGATGCGGAGGAACGAGTGGCTGCGGCAACCCTTCTAACAGGATACATCGCGGAACTTCTTCCAGCGGTTCTAGAAGGGCTGAAGATGTCCGGGTTCCTCTTGGACGAGATCAAGGCTGGTTCGTGAACTCGCAAGAACACTGCTACTTTTTGTCAAATTAGTTAGTCAGAAAGATTTATTAATTTCGCACCTCTCCTGTCCTTGTAACTCGTTCTTCTTCGTCGTCGCTTCCGTTCAACCCAACACGTAACAAAATTCTGTAACGTTTTCTCTTTGCAGATGTCGAGGAGAGCTTCGTGCCCTGGTTGATGAAGGAGGTTAAAAAAGAGATGGGCAACATGATCGAGAGCAGGGAATTACTCACCGGTGAATATGAAATTATTCGGTTGTTCCGGTACTCGCGTTGCAGAACAAGTTTGCGTCAGTGTACGTGACTTTTACAGAGGTGTCGGTAACACCGAAGAAAAGTTCCTTTGTATCTACTCCCGTCGCGCTAATAACAGTTTTATCCGCGAACCCTTTGTAAAGCTCTCGAGTAGGAAAATGAGTTCTATACCACCCATTATTATCCTTGAGAATCGGGGTGGGTCTAAGTCGAAACGAATAACCGTAAGCTCCAGGTACAATTATCGACGACTGCGAGGCCTGGTGCCACTCTGTCGCGACACTTGAGATCCCTGCAGACGTATCATAAATAATACCGTTCTCTTCGCGTCACACCTTTCAGAGATCATCAGGGAGATTCTGGAGAGCCGGGCTGAAACTTACAGGAATCTCGGCGAAGAGTACGACGCTTCGAGAAGAAGAAAACCGTCGTCGTTGATGGACCATATCGAGGATGGCGGCAGAGATCCGAATTTCTTGAATTACCAGCCACCCGTTATCGAGAATTCGGACGACGTTTAACGAGCAGACTCGAACCAGCGGACGTTCCCGTACGTGTGTACGGATTTAATACGTAACCAACCATCGCCGAGTGGTTAATCGTTGTCTCGTGAAATTTTTCTCTCCGTTCGGCTCCTCGTTTACCCAAGCTTTTAACGCTCGTTGATCTTGGAACGGAGAAACGAGCATATCATAGTTAGCTTACGGATTTAGGGACACCTTCACCAGCACCACGGACCAATCCCTGTCCCAGTGGCTTCTACATTAAGCAGTGTACACAGCTGCGAAACAAATCCATCTCCTCCGGTTGCGCCCTGTGACAGGTCGCC